TGGTGATGCAGGCACGGAGGGAGGCTCAGCCAATCTCACTGTATACATGTTATACTTTGATAATAAAGGTTCATTCATTCATTCATTCATGAGGTTTTCCAAAATAAATAAAGAGGTAAAGGAGCCCCTTTACTGTAGTGGTTAATGCACCAGCTTGGGTGACCTTGGGCCAGTCCCCTTCCCTCAGCCCTAAGGATGAGGTAATGGCAAACTACAGGTAGTCCTCAACTTACAACAATTCGTTTAGTGACCGTTCAAAGTTATAACAGCACTGAAAAAAGTGAGTGATGACCATTTTTCATACTTATGACCGCTACAACATGTCCATGATCAAAATGCAAACACTTGGTAACCGGCTCATATTTATAATGGTTGCAGTGTCCTGGGGTCATGTGATCCCTTTTTGTGACCTTTCGACGAGCAAAGTCAACGGGGGAAGCCCGATTCACTTAACAACCATGTGACTAACTTAACAACTGCAGTGTTTCACTTAACAACGGTGGCAAGAAAGGTCGTAAAATGGGGCAAAATTCACTTAACAAAATGTCGCACTTAGCAATGGAAAGTTTGGGCTCAATTGTGGCCGTAAGCCGAGGACCACCTGTGCTTCTAAAATCTAGTCAAGAAAACCGCAGGGATTAGTCTAGGCAGTTGCTAGGAGTCAACATTGACTCCAAGGCATGCACACCCCAAGAGTCATAAAGAAGATTAGATAGCAGCATAAAAAAAATGTAGTTTCTGGGATTTATCCCTGCTCTTGGGGTTTTCAACAATGAAGCACCTCTGAAGTAAAATGGTTAATCTGATCCGATACCGAACAAAAACACAAACAGCCACCTGTCACAGGGTTGACAGGAACCAATTAAGTGTGTGAAATTAAAAATTATGTAAAAATTAATAACAGGATATGGATTGTTTACGAAGATTGAATGTAATGAAGATATATATAAGCTAAAAATTTATTGAGAAAATGTAACAATGATGCTTTTATTGAGTTGATATAATTAGAAATGTACTAGCTTGAATACGAGACGGTAAATGTCAAGGGGAAAAGAGAAGAAATATCTGATGTTGCAACCTGAGATTTGCACGAAAGATTTGGTTATTGAACTATTGATGAAGCCAGTCACCACGTTGCTTTTTAAATACTCAAATGTAAAAATTGGAAAATTAATAAAATATTATATATATATTAAAAAAAAGTGTGCGAAAGTCTCGATTTGGATTTGAAATCCCGTGGATGGGGAGGGTCGAGGTCCATTGTGAGGGCTGGCCGTCCCCACGGGGGGGGGGCAGCGGGGGGGGGAGAGGAAGACAACAAGCAAAATCTCACAAAGGCTCGCGGAACTCGCTCCTCGGCTGCAAGGCCGGGAAGCGCCCCCCCCCCTCGTCGAACCGCCACTCCCGTGCAAGGCAGACCCTTCCGACCCGCGAGGGAGAGGCGGGGGGGGGGATGCGCTCGCGCGAGAGCACTCACTGCGAAGAGATGTCAAAGCGAACATCTCGGTCCTCCCACAGCGAATCCGCCGTCGCAGCCGCCGCCATGACAACCGTCAATTGTATCTCTGTCTACCCGACTCCAGCTGCCCGACGAGCGTCGACGAGGGACAAACTTCCTCAGCGCGTTTGAAAAAAACTGCTGGATTTACACTTGCGAAGGGCTAGAGGGCGCTCGTTCGGCCTCAGAAGCGTTTTCTCGATCTGCTCCTTTACAGATGTGTTCGCAGTGTTTCTCAACCTTGACAATTTTAAGGCATGTGGACTTCAAGTCCCAGAATTCCACAGCCAGCATTGCTGGCTGTGGAATTCTGGGAGTTGAAGTCCACATGCCTTAAAATTGTCAAGGTTGAGAAACACTGTGTTAAAGCTACAACACCCATAGTCCATTTACAGTTGGCTTGGAATAATGACAGCTGTAGTTCTAATGCACGGGGGAAAGTTCTCAATAATCTTGGGAGAGGTTATTAATGTGAGTGATTTAAATTTATTGACCGCCCAACTCCAAGGGACTCTGACCAAATAGAAGACGGTCCACTGCCTTGTTACGCTCCGATTCTTAGCTTCCCAATTTTATCAGGCAAACTTCTATTTCAGACAGACTTTGAAAAGTCAGTCCTAGCAGACACCAGCCTTAAGAGGAATAATCGGTTTTATGCCGTTAGAGCAATTTATTCACATGTCAGATTTATTACATTTTTGGCTTAAAGTTCACAATGTTTGCTGCTAATTTAGATTGTATGGCTCGTTTTTAAGATTTAAAATTTAAATGTACAGTTTTAATTTAGAATTTAACATTTCTCAAGAGAAAAATATTTGAATATTGCCTGTTTTAAAACTGGCAAAATTCAGATTTGATATGTTACTATGATGAAGGTCTCCAACCCTGTAACTTTAAAAATTAGCTTTGTTATCAAAATTATGACTGCCAGTATTCTATTCTTTAAAAAAGTGTACAAATACATTAAATGCATGTTATCTCAATTATTGTTTATGTCCAAAGTTATGTCCAACTTTAAATATGTTGTTGAGTATGGAAGAAAATATTAGATGGCAGCAGCACCAGCTTGATTTTGGCAAGCATAATTAGATCTAGTTAATACTGTACTTGAATCATAAATAAATATGAGTTATAAACTGGACAGATAAATTAAAAGAAAGTAATAGCAAATAGCTTTGTATTTGTGGCAAGCAAACTACGTAAATATGTTTGTGAAGTTATCAGTGGTTGAGTTCAACTCATAAGGAAATTCCTTTTTACACCCTTTTACACAACCAATTTGCAGCCTTCAACAGAGCAGGGAGTTCTTTTGCTTGTCTCACTGTAAAAAAATATGTCTGTAAACAGTAAACTGAGTAAGTGATTTCTGACCATATACTTTTTTTTTCAAAAAGAGACTACATTCTTACTTTTCTTAGTTTCACAAAAGCATAAATACAATGGTAAAAATCTTCCTCCTGAAAATGATGAAAACAAATAAATTGGTTTTAATTCAAGTGATGAAATGAGACATTGATATTAGTTTTGCTACAGCAGTGAAAATGTTCTGGCTGATGAAATAAAGGTACAAGTAGTCCATTTACAAAAACTTTTCTTAGTATACAGTATATTCAACTCACAAAAATACATTTCAGACATTTAATGAAGATAAATGAGTATAATATAAAATAGAGCAGAAACATAAGTCTTTCAACAGCTTACGTGGCATGTGGCAGAACAAAATTCAACATCCTATTTTAAACATTTGTATTAATCTCTCGCCTGCTGTGTAAATCAGCATCTGAAATCCTGTTTTGAAAATTCAGAAATAGTTTTAGAGTTGAACTGACTACTGCTAACTGGAACAGCATGGTTTGACCTTTTCATTTAAAATAGATATTTTGAATTATTAACAAGCATGTTAAAAATATTTGTTAATTCTGTAGCAGATGGTGATTGTGTGCATCTAAGCCACAACTATTAAACTACAGTTTGAAGAAGCCAGTGTGACCTGATTCACATAGTATATAGGCATAGGCATATAGATCTGCATATCATGCTAATTAAAAACAAATGAACAGGGTTATGACTAAATTATTTTCATGAAATAAACTAATACATTTGTAGCTCTCTTACAAAGAATATATTTCTTACGTTAATTATTATTAATATATTTTACTATATGTTAATTATTATGATGCTAATGATATGAGGCTAATAATTATAAATAGCTTTTCAAAGTAGGCACTGTGTAAATATATTCACCAAGGTATTGCAGTTTCTTTTACTTTATTGTCAGTCACAGATTGATTAAAATCAGCTGTTACATTAAATCTTAATACATTGATGATTGAGTTTGTTTTAGAGCAGATACTAGCAATTTTCAGTTACTGGGCACCATCATATGATTTTGCATGATGATATGGACACCAAATGTAATGATGATGATAATATTTTTTTGTAAATACTAATTAGCCAACTCTCACAACATTTCAATGTTCTAGCTTCCAAATATTACAAGATTCATTATAAGATTCATTGTTCCAGTTGGTTTTCAGACTTGGAAAGCAAAGACTTCCATGGCCAATTACTGGAGTACTTGTATTAAATGCATGATTTTTATATGCTAATTTTTCCTCTAGTGCGCATCTTATTTTTTGCAAGTGTTTTTGAAAAGGCAATGTGATCTTTTCTCTTAAAGTAGTCCCATTTCCAGTTATTTGAAACTTCTTGGAAAAGGCTGAGTACCGGCCTACGGGTTGCTTAAATTTATACCAATACAGGTACATATCAGGCCACTGATGCCAATGATTTTAGATACTTCTTACTATACATTCTACAAGATTATATTTCAAAAGGATTATCGGATTCCCCAAATCCATTCATGCATAAGAAGTATGTCATCCCATTCTAAATTATTGCAAATCATCAACTGCTTCATCAATAGCATCACCTTCTTTCATTTCCAACTTAGCAGCTGAGCTTATATCCATCGTTCTTCCTTCCAATCATCTGGGTAGAGGATTAAAACATCCAGCACCAGATTAATGATTTTTCCATGACAACTGACAATACATTCAAGGATTTTTTTGTTACTTGAATTGCGCTGGGATTCATCTTAGTAACTTCTGTTCATTCTCTGGCAAGTGAAGTATCTGATTCTATTTCTCACTTCTCCAGGAACATTACAAATCATTTCAACTCGGAATGCAGCAGAGTGCAAATAAACAAGCCACAGTTGTAGAAACTTTTGTCCTACAGGAATGCCAGTTGGAATGACAGAGGTACCTAGGATCCAGTGCAAATGCTTTGTTTGCAATTAACAAGGCATGAATATTGTTTTTTGACGCAAAGAAAATCTGTATAATTCCAATACATATTTTAACATGGTCTGCAGGTGCTATCAGTTTCTGAAGTAAAAAAAACTACACCATTTCTTGTAGATTTTAGTAGGAGTATACCAGAATAAGAGGTTTCAGGATAAAATCCTCATATGAATTAAGTGCATTGTATAAAGAAAACCCTTGATATTTATGCTTTATACCACTTTTCTTATGACTTTTCTGTTCCATTCTGTTTGGTGGGCAATCTTAGGCACCTGCAAAATAAATGTCATATTACGTTTTTGTTGAGTAAAAGAAAGTCAGCTGTTAATAAATAGTGAAAATGTTTAGGTTGTGTTTTCAAATCGTTCATTAGTGCAACTTTAGCAGTTAGAAATTTTATTTCCAAGATGAAGCATTTTACAAAAATGTTTGTTTCTTCTTTAGGAGAAACCACATCAGAATCTAAAACTATTCTATACCTGTTAAAATACAATGTCCTTTTCTTCCTGAACACCTTTAAAAACAAATTTAACAGAGACTGAATCATACACTCCCCCCCCTTTTTCTGTTAAACTCACTTTCCTAATGAAGAATTCTTGAAACTGGAAAACCCGAAGAAATTTGGAAAGCCTCTACAGATTTTAGATTTTTTTTCTGTCTTATGGTCAATGTAGTATTACTTTTTATAATGCTCGTGACACTTTGGCTACTTGCATTTCTGTCTGAGATCCTCTGCCCTAGAGGACCTTGAGATTTACAGCGACAGATTAATTCAAGGAAGCACTTGGGGATCTATATGGTCACAGAGGATGGGAAGGAAAATGGGAATCACCCCGTTTAATAACTAGAAGGCGAGACGATGATCTAGAAGGCGAGAGGATGAACACTGATTCAAGACACAAAAACAAAAGCCCAAATCCTAAAGATATGCCATTGACACAGTACAGATAACAACCTGTTTTAAATTAGAACATACTAATTTAATATTTTATGGCTAAGCTTAATTTTTCAGAGTTTTCCATTGAAACTCTGCTCATAGGGAAAAAAATATGTACAAGATCTCATTACCAAATTTCAACTTTTGAAAAACTGAATTTGATCAGAATAGGTTTCTCCAAAGGACAAGAAACATGAATCTTAAACTGTAAAAACTATAGTTAATTCTTACCTCCAGAGAAAAGGACACATGTCTTTTTACAGTCTTCTTCACTATCAAAGCGATTACCATTTCCATTGCAGCCACCATACCAAAACTGAGCACAAGAGTCGGCTTGCTTATCATAATACCATTTTATTATATAAACGCGGCATGGTCCTTGATCTAATCTTAACTGACACTGTGGAGGCCTCAGGATATTATCTTTAAAAAATAAAACAACAAATTGTTGTTGTAATTGTTGTGTATTATTGGAGTAATAAGGCTGGAATTTAGAAACCACTAATATTCCCAAATAATTTTATAGCAGTGTTTCTCAACCTTGGCAATTCTAAGATATGTGGATTTCAGCTCCCAGAATTCCCCAGCTATGTCATACAACCCGCCTTGCCTACCCTACAAGGTTTACCTTTATAGTTAAAAAAAAAAACCCTTCAATTTTAAAAGACTAGGATTTTGTTCAAGATAAGTTAATACTATTAATGTTACCATGCACTGTGTGGCTTTAAATTACAAGAAGGCATTTTATTAATCTTTTGGGTCATTTAGGACATTTAGTTTAATGAGAGGAAATGTCAGCTTTCTATGTGGAATGAAATTGGCCCAATAAAACAGAATTTAG